AAAAGTAGAAAGGTTAAAAAGAATGAGTATCATCTTGCAACATTAAATGAAGATGTAAAATTACAATGCTTACCAGCTGGATATCATAGTTCTAAATCACCATCTAATGATAGCTGTGACTATTGTAATCGAAGATTTGAAATTAATGATGAACATGAAGGTATAATGTTAATATGTGGTCATGCTTACCATCATAGATGTTTTGGAGAAAAAAAAAACAGGTGTAATTATTGTTTGGAATTTTATAAAAAGGGCATTGTCTCAAATGTAAAATCTTATCCATAACGCAAATATTCCTCCAAAGTCAATGATTTCTTGTTCCCATTTAATTCAATATTTGATTCAACGTATAAATAGATTAGAAAAAGATGATGCTGTTAATAATGAATTATTGCTTCATGAAACATCAAATGAAGAGAATGAAGAAGATGATGATAATGATGAGTATGAAGTAAATGAAAATGATAAAATATCATTAGATTTTAGAAATGCCTTAGAATCAATAAAAACTTGGTGATTCATAAATTTTATGTAAAAAGTGAAATTACTTACATTAACACATCTAAATAGAATGAAGAGGCCTTAAACATTTGCTTATATTCGAATTATATGATATATATTCGACATTTATATTGTTTTTTTTAAACAATATTATTATATATTCCTTATTATTTATTTGTGATAAGAATGTCTGCTTACAAAAAAACAATACTCTTGATTTTGGATTGGGGGAATTTATTTGAAATTGAGAAAATGGAGGAATTAAATAATTAAAAACTTTGTACAATTTTCGCGCCTCACAATTGGCAATCATGAATAGAAAAAAAGGAATATTTTTTATTAGTTACATCGCCAATAATAATAAAAACAATATATAAAAAAGTAAAAAAATAAAAGTTGCCAAGTTGACAGGTTTAAATAGATCACAGAAATCTTAAACTTTCATTTCTAATACAACCTACTTAAATCCACTTGATCGACTTGATCGGGTATTGCCAGAATGTAAAGAAAAGTTGAAAATATATATAAACGTAAAAAAATGTGTGTGTTTCATAAAATGGTTTTTGTGCGCAGTCACGAGACTATTTCTATTCTAAACTCAATTGAAATAGCATGTTTCACAATATAAAAAAGATCGACGATCGATTTTGTCACAAAGTGATAAAACGAATGTCCATTATGCTCAGTGTGTGTTTATTCCTATTTAAGGGTAGGGGGAATCACGTGGTAAATTAATAGTAAACAATGGCTCAAAAAAAATTTTTTAATGTTGATCATCATAAATAATTAATAATAATAATAATAATAACGTAAAATAATAACTTAACATTATCAGCATTAACACTTAATTGATGATCCATCTATGAATCAGAGAAATGTCAATCAATTTATTATAAAAATGTGGGGGAAATTTCATATTAAATGATCGGCAAAAAAAATCAAAAAATCATTAATATTTTGAGTAAAAAATAAATAAAAAAACTATATATAGTATATATTAATTATTGCATTCATAGTTTTTTTTATTTAATAATAAACTCAAAATAATAATAGGATTTGTCTTCCATTGTATTCAATCTCCCATCCAGGAGCATGTTACTAGATTGTTTGTTAACAACCATGCGAATACACTACCCAACAAGTCCTGTTTAACAAAGGCAACATTATTCTATAACATAAAAAAAAATTGTTTTTGTTTTTCCTCTGCTTTTCAAACTTTTGATAATGAATATCAAAACCTTGCATTTAACCATATATCACAACAACAACAAAAAATTCCAAACAGTAATCACTGATCCTCATGATACATTTGAAACTTTATTGACCAGTATAGAAGAATTTATGGATTTCAAAGATGATGTTATTGGATGTTACTTAAAACTTGGGAATAGATGGAGTGAAGTGTCCTTAAATGATTCCACATTCATGGCAATCACACCAGAAATAAAACATGTCAAATATATATTAACAACAAGTAAATACTATTTTTTATTAAATAAATTTTTTATTAATATATATTTATTCAAAAATTAAATTGCAAATTTTATAAAAAGATGACAATAATGATGATGATAAAGATGAATACGATGGTGACAATAAAGATGTAGACAATAGTGACAATAACGACAATAATAGCATGGAAATACAATAATATACACTCCCCTACAAAAAATATCTGACCACTTGTGCTGTGTAATGTCAAATGAAAAAAGTACTTGCTAAATAAAGTA